TACAAAAGTTTGTTAAACGTGACACTTTTACTCTGTGTGTTGCCTCTGTCCCTGTGGGTTCGATCTTTTTACCACCATACTGCAGTTTTAGCCTTTGGTGGGTTATTACAGTGTGGCGGCGGCGGCGTGAAGTCAAGTGGGGGAGGCAAGACGACGGTGCATGTAGTCGCGCAAGGGGAGTAGGCAGCTACCCATCATTGGGAGTGTTGCATTTCAGGCGGGCTGTGGGTGTCTCGGCCTTGGACTTCGAAGTGGGGAGTTCGGCCTGGTAACTGAGAGCTTGTGGTGTACCAGGGTGTGGAGACGGAAGTGGTATCGGCGTAGGATAGAGTGTGGTGTGAGTGATTTTTCGCAGGGAAGTGGTGAGAATTAGGAGGGGAGTGTGGAGAGTTCGAAGTAGGAGAAAGCAGACTCTCGTGGGTGGAAAGTCGTATCTGAGAGTGAAGTTGAAGTGGAATCTGAGATTGAAGTGTAAAATTTGTGAGTGGGAGCTGAGATCAGAGTGGAAGATTTGAGAATGGGAGCTGAGAGTGAAGTGAAATCTGAGACTGAAATCTGACAGTCGGAATCTGAATTTGAAACTGGAAAGGAAGAGTTGAATCTGAGAGAGGAATCTGGTGGGGTCTGAAGGTGAAAGCTGAGAAATCGATGCTGAAATCTGAGTAGAAATTGGGAGTGGGATTGGGATCTAGGAAAGCCCACTGCGGCTGTAGTATTGAGGAAGTCACCCAGAGTTGGGTTAGATCTTTATGTAACAAAGAGCTTGTCTTATGCTCTTGTGAAAATAGTACGCAGCAGGTGTTAGTTTCAGTTTTGGACCATTTGTCTGTGGAAGAGCAAGTGTTTATCATCTCATTGTCTTGAATACATTGTGAGTACATGGCTTGTGATCAGAGAAGTTAGATTATGGGAGTTCGAACCCCCACCTGGACTACAAACGCTGAAGGGTGGGAAGGTTCGGCTCACAGTATTCAAGAGTTGCAAGCTTAGGGATTGCTTATTTTTTGTGTTTAGAGAGGTCATAGCTTCCCACACACTCAACCACATTTGTGAACTATCCATTTACTTCTTTGTTCAATTACATCGTTGGTTGCTAGAAAGAGGTCAAAGCTCTAACTTGATTTGTATCTTGATTACAACTATTTTGATCTTTTAAAATTCCTTCTCTGTTGTATAACACTCAGCATTAGGTACATACACATCAGAGGCCAACATTTGACTTCAAATCTGCACCCAGACCGGACCATGACCATCAATAACGACCTAAGCCCACCCATGTCCAATTATAGCATTACCTTTACCCATCCATGCTATGCAAATTATGCCAATTCTTGGTTGGATCTTGACAAATACTGCCCTTAGCACTACTTGTCACCCAAAACCCATGGGCATGGGCACCCAATGTTGGACTCTAATCGATGTGTATTACGGATCGATTAGAGTAAGGGTTTACAATATGATCATAAGAACATCTATGCGTCGATCGATATGTCCATAACATCCATAAGAACATCTATGGAGCAGTTGAGCTGTAACACCAAGTGAAACGCTTGATGGTGTACGCTTGGGAGGTATGTATTATTCATTGGCTTGATGATAAAAAACCACTAAACTTGGCCTAGTAAGGTTTGAACCCAGTTGCTGACGGTCGGGAAGAGATCGAAGAGAACCTTTTGACTCTATGAAATCAGGGGGAATCAAGTAATATATATAGGTCATATGTAGGCTTTTGTGAAAACATTGAACATGTCTTGAAACGTTGAACTCGTCTTAATATCTAAACTAGACTGATCCCTCCACACAAGTTGAGCCTTGCTCCCCTTTTCAATCCTCAACAGAAAACGTAAACGTAACAACAACTGTCTTGTATGTTCTGATACCATATTCCAAACCTATTTCATCCTGACCCATCTATGTGAGAACATCGTACACGGTCTTCTGTTGCTGAATTCAACTCAAAAAAATTTATCACATTGATTTTTCATCAACTGGCGTTGTATTAACTGTGATTGACAATTCTAATCAAGCGACTTCAATCCACTTCAAAAAATGTATATAGCAGATATTGATGATATAATGCGACAACAATATATGAAAAAAAATATGTTGATATTCTTAGGAAGTTTATTATTCTTTATTTCTTATATGAAAGATGATTAAGATTTCTTCCTCTAATATAAATAAATACATATAAACTTTAACAGTTTTCAAATTCTTTAGAAATGTAAACTTCTTTTTAATTCAAGTTTCTTGATAAAATTATTTATATTCTCAAGCTTCCTATTTCTTCATCGAAACTGTCCTTAGTAAAAGATTTTTCGCTGACGGTGAATAAAAAGTACAGCTTATTTGATTATTTTGATCTTTGGTAATGATTCTCAAAGTTTAGGCCTCAAGGGTTACTTGTCAGAAGTGGTGCTGCGTTGTTTGGGACCAAGACGCGAGCATACTTGGTGGAAGAGGGTCCCTTGGTTGGGGAGGAGGGAAAGCCGGCTTTGATTCTCGCAATTCATTTGGTCGATCTAAAAACCTGAATATAATACAGTATATTCAGACTATGGCAGATGACGAAGTTGATAATAGTCCACAGGTTTATTAACAGTATAAAGCATGGTCAGATAAGAAAGGAGTATAAAGAAGGGTAGCATTTTGGAAGCTACTGAATTGTGATGCAGACAGAAACTTACTCGATGTAGAGAAACAGCAGATGATTGTGTAGAACCTGGGCCACGAGATCATTGTTGCGAAAGAAATAGAATCTTCCACACACGCCACTGGCTGTCACGAATATCACCCCTGACCATGTCAGTTCTGTTGTCAAGGTGACGGTGATGGAACAATGAACATCTGCTGACGATGATAGATATTTCCAACTCGTGCTCCAAGTTGAACGAGTCCGACCATTCTCACCACAATCTGGACAAGGCCTTCACGTGGCCAACACTTACATGCACGAGAAGATGAGCAGGGTCACTGATTTATCGCTTGGTTATTTCTCCAGAAGTTTCTAATAAGGGACAGCAGCATTCAGCGAGTTCATGATAGAGCCGACTCGATCCGTAAGACTGAGTCGTCGGAAATGGATACTAAAGACAGATGGCACTCCTTACAAGTCCAAGGAATCCCCAATATGCATTTGAATTATGATCTTGGCTGTTGCTGCTAGGCATCTTCTTTTTAAGATTCGTACACGCTCTCGAGTACATTCTTCGGCAAGTCCAGAAGTATCTGATTTCGACCAAAATCTTGCAAATTGTTGAAAGATCACTGACTAAAATCAATCGGGAAAAGCGGGTTTACCTGTCTCCGTACACACATTGAGACAATACCCAGCCATATTAGAACTTAAATGACTTCCGAGCCATCAAATCTAGTGAAGAGAGAATGACGACCTATCGGATATGCTTGGAAAACAAAATTCTAGTCCTGGTCAGGCCCGTTGTTTCAAACGCTGAGACCTGGCATATTATTGAGGAGCTTAACTCATGCCTCGTCAAGGCAAGTTCTCCTCCTTTTGACCTCTCCTGAGGAATTCCTGCAGTGCACGCGAAATTGACTCAGAAAGAGGTGGAGGCGCAACATATCAGCGCGGGCACAGACCAGCTGAGATCCCTCCATCTTAGTCAACGTTTAACCTCCTCCTGAAGAGAACGTGGGCCGCTAAAATGAGATTCAGAGGACGAAATATGGGATACTTCGTTCTGAATAGTCTGTAGTAGATACTTGCAGCTCGATATGGATTTATGCTAAATTCGTGATGCACCGCGCTAGAGAGTTTAAAAGAGTCAAGTTTCATAAATTTCTGTTGCACTTTTGGCAAGTCAGATTTATGTAGACAGAATTCATGTCTGCGCATTGCAAACCAAATTGGTACGACCTCAGCCGATAACGACGGATGGCCATATCACGTTTTATGAAAGGAAGCATATGATCGAATCAAAAAGTACAGCTTTTTCTCGTCGTAAAAAACTCGACGGTCGCCTGAAGTAACTAAATTAGGTTAATGTAGTCTCGTCAAGTTAATTTAGGCAAAAGTTATCTCGAGTGCGCTTGACAAAGAGTGAGAAGCTGGTAACGGGAGAGAGAGAGAGGGGAAAGGCTTGCAGTCGTGCTGCTAGACTCGTGGGGGATATATTATTTTACAAAATCTGGATTCCGAGCTCGTTTATCTATGAGACTGACGTATTAATACATTGATTGGCTGAGATCTCCTATTCTCCAATTTTGATCCAATTAGAGTCTAGATGCGCCGGTTAATTTAGGCGCCAGAGGTACTGTAAATTTAGGTCATTTAGTGGCCATGGTATAAGGTCGCCTAAAATAACCATACCACAACATACCTCATCCCACAGATACATACTGTAGGGAATCAACTTCGTGTCGACATTATTTCGAATTGTTCCATACTCGAGGCATTTCATTTGTTGAATACAGAATTACATAAAGTTTACTTACGCGACTATGTATGCATAAGCATTAAGCTGTTGAGGCTGGAACGAGTAAATGCAAAGCGTGTCATAGCTGAGGCATGAAAAAATCTTATACCAACGAAAGGAATTTATCAGTAAAAAATTCGAACATTCCAAAATATCAAAATCCAATTATTCACCCTTTCCGACTTGATGGGGTATTCCCATCCCTTTAAGCTATTGTAGTCGGTTTCGGCTTGAGGTTATCGAGGAAAGGAATTATTTCCGAGCTAAGAAAAGATCGAATCTGACAAGCCTGACAAGACAAACCTTGATGTATAAGTGGCTTAAGCAAGAAGATTTCATCGAGATTACTGGAGGTGTAGAGGGAGGTCCACGTTGTTTCATTGTGATCGACATACTGTTGCGTAGTGACAGGAGTAAAGTTGCGTAGAAAAAGGACAGCACACTGTTCTGACCCCAAAAACCGCAAAATACTCCTAAAAGAGTGGATCGCTTGATACTCAACTGATAGGATCAGTAGGAGCTGCCCACAGCAGCTATAAGAAGGCGTCTTGAAAAGGTTGTAGCGTTCCAGTTGATATCACTATCAGTTGGGATCCTTTTGTTTGTGGCGTGATTGCAGCGGGGTTTTCAGAAGGTACTAAGATTGTACCGGGCAGGAGAAGATGGACGGACTTTTCACTTCAAGCTGGCTGCTCTACGTGCTTTCGCACGAGGAGATGAAACTTTGATCCCAGTGCACAGCCGATTCAAGCTTCCAATGCGCTTATTATGCCGCACTGCGGATTGAAGCTTTTTAAGTTCACGGTTTGCTTCTCCAATTTCTAGACTTCCCTTTAGTGAAAAGCAACGACTCTTTGTAGTTCGTGCTTGCAGCTGACTTGGATCTTTGCATGTTTGGCGATTAGCTGTTTTTGCTCATTGCGGCTTTTAGGATGATCGAGGTAGGATCCGTAGCTCGTTACATTTCAGCTCCAGTCAGCCATTAAGAGCCATGTGACTTCATTCCTGCTCTTCTGATCAGTTCTAGTAGCTTACTAGATCTAGAACTAAAAAGGTTTCTCCGATCGAGGGATTGAACAATACAGTTCAATACGTCTGTAACTGCCCAGGTTCTCAGACGGTACTCAGCTGAATCCTGCATATGGCAGGCCCAACTGTTATTTTTTCCCCAAAGTTAGTTCGTAGGAAATTTTTTCTCATGAGCTTGCTCCGTAAGAGAGTTGCACACATTTTTTTCAGATTATTCGCTCGATTATCGACTTGTGTGTTCCAAACTTGGGGTTTCTTTCGCTAAGAATTGCATGGATAGAGAGCGAATTGTCCAATGCCACATGAGTTATACATCCAAGCATGTATGAAATCCAAAAATATTCCATGAATTGAATCAAATCTAGCAAAACTACATCAAATATACGCAACTTCTTTATATATTAGTGCTGCAGAAAACGTATACACAATGTAAACAAGCACGACTACCGGCAACTTTGAAGCTTTCTGACTGATATAGATTATTTCGCTTTCGATGCCTTCATGTACTTGAATCGGTGGAAACGGACTAGCACGAATAAGGGCTTCATAGAAAGAACAAAACCATTCATCGCTCAACAAAAGACTAAGTTCCTTTGAGGAACACTGGTTTTCCCTTCGCTCATTAGTGAAGTGATCGATTCAATCGGGGGTCGGAGCCATTGTGTTCCAAGTCATCGCGTGCGGGGAAAAGATGTGTGGGCACCACTACTGGATGTCAGCGGTCGAACAACGAAAGGATGGAGTAAAATGTTCAGTAGGACGTACCAGTTTTCTTAAGAACCTTCATGATCCAGTGTCATCACAGCTAGTGTAGGATAGTGCTCTCTCGATGCAATTAGTACATCGAGCACTGCAATTAAAGTCTCGCACGGCTCGGTCTATTCCTTCATCTCTTCATTTCGTATTTAAACAGCGCACCCTTCTTGTGAACGAGAAACCTCCACCAAAATCTGTATCGAGTCGACCCTCTTGCAAGCGTACCAAAAGCGCTTCCATCCGGTGGAAACTCTGGATAATATGTTCTGCTTGCTGTTTTGACCTTTTCCGGGGAATTCGAAGCATTTTGGAGCTGCAGATCTCGCCTCGTCGATGGTTCCATCCAGAATGGGGTCTGCCTCCGCTTTTGATTTAGGGTCTCCTGATTCGAAAAGACGTGGATCGGCACAGGGAAAGACAGAGTCTCTCCTGTTCGATTCACTGGCGTTCCGGCCCTTCTTGGCAGCGACGTCTCGGAGTTGGATCACGTCTTCACGGCACCGCTTCTGAGGTGGCTCTGTCTCGAGAGTAGGCCCAAAATTCCTCCGACACCTCCTATCACACACATGTTTTGACAGCCCGCACTGTCGTGTCATTGAGCACGCGATCCCTTCTTCACGGCTACTCTGTTTCCAACGACCCTCGCTTGTAGGCAGCAACGCTTCTTCCTCGTGATGATGTCGACAGAGAAGAAATTAGATCGGCGGAATCCACCTACGCTTGAAGTTCTGGATCCAAAACCTTAAAGGGGGACATATCAAAGGACGAGGGTCCAAGATCATAAGTCGGTGCATATCAGCCGTGTGCATTCTTCGGTGAGCTGCGCTCTACGTCTCAAATCAGCAATTTGACAAATTCGTGCGAGAAAAACTCCAGATGCCTGAGGATAGGGCACTCAGCCGGTCAGAATTCGCGAGTGGAAATTCGAGGAAAGGAAGATCTCTCAAAGTGCATGCTCGCTGTGGAAGCAAGAAGTCAAGAGAGGGAGCTTATATACCGCCAGCTCTCCGGTCAGGGCTTCACAACTCAATCGTTCCATTCAGGCCCACATTAGTTTGCGCCGCATTTTGTCCTCTAAATCGTACTACTGTGGGACCTTATTGTACAGGCCTGGGTATGTTAGATACCCAGGCCTCTCTATATTGGGGGGATTCGTATATCTCAACAAAATAAGGATAATTTTCAAAGCAAACTACGGAATATAGGGAAGGGGACAGTTTTCGGCCTAATCTTGACCGAAATTCTCATGTTTCAGGCCTAATTCTTCAGCAATGTAATACACCTTCGACAGAAATGGATGTTATCTTTGATCTCTGAATATACTTTTTCCATTTGAGCACGGAGAAATTGAAGTGTTCGAAAATGGTCAAACTAATCTAACCAAAAACTCCATGAGTTGAAGGAATCGATTCTTAAACCTGGAATCAGACTTTTCAGTCAACAGATTTTTGTGAACGAGAACATGGATTTCGTAATATTTTGGGTTCACTATCTTATCTATGTACTTTTGTTTCCAAGAAAGTTTGAATCTATCTTGATATTTTAATACTAGTTGAATAATCTTTTCGTCTGTTTAAAGTTACAAGTTACCGAGTTAAGCAAGGTTACCCAGAACTTGTTTGGTTGAACTCAAAGTAACACAAAAATTTTAGTCGAGTACTCAGCTAATTTCTCTAGTAAAGTCACCAAGATGAACAAAGAAATTGTCACTCTGTAAATATTTAGCTGAATATTTACTTTAGTTTCTCTAATAAAGTCGTCTAGAATATTGTCAAAAATGATCACCCCAAAGTTTTAGTTGAGTGGCTCCCTTAGTTTCTCTCCTACCCTTCATAGACTTTTTGTTGGAAATACATAATTTCTGAAAATGAAATACGGCACTTTGGCACTCAAGTTCCATATTTGCCGTATTTAGAAAACCTGGGTATCTACGGCCTAGTCACTAGTGTTGGAGGCACAACCTGAAAGGCATGCCTCTCGGCGAGGGCACGGGACATGCGTTATTCGCCTTCTTCCACATGAGACATGCCCCTATGTATAAACAAATTTATACGTATTTCCCGAGGTTTTCAGCGGTTTTTCTTCTAAGAGTGCTTTATTTTCACAGAAGTACACAATATATATATATACGTATAAATATACGGGCATACCTGGGGGCATGGGGCATGCCTTTTGACCTCGAAAGGGGGCACCGACATGCCTCGAAAAAATTCGTTGTGCCTCCAACCCTACTAGCCAGGCACTGTGCAGCCAGGATCTATTATCTACCATCCTGTATGTGCGAAACATGTCCTTTGGACATGCGAACAGGCAAGGCATGAACCTTGTTAGTCTTTCTCGAGAAACATAAGTACTGTAGTTGATTGATAAATTTAATATCGGTGGAATTCGAACTACGTACCGTAACATTTGGCATTTTTCGAGTCGTGAGCACCTTAAGACCGTGGACCTTCATGTTTTCTGGCTGGCTGGTGTCACCTTCTCCGGTTCTCAGACCTCGTTGAACGGCGTGCAATAATATTAATTTCCTCATGCTGGTCGCTCTGTGGATTCTTCGCCGTGATTGTTGTCAGGACTCCGTCACTTACTGCGAAATATCACAGTGTACCTTATTCCCCAAACTGTGAATGCGAAACACGTGCAGATGCGAGCCGAGCTGGCATTTACACGGTTCGAACTTTGAGGCTGGAGGTAGCTAGAGCATCCTGCTCTGCGAGGTGCTTCATGATCAGCATAAGACGATTGCATGGATCAAGTAGGAGACTTCAACTTTCAGCAAACAGAAGATACTCTATACATATAACAATTTCCAGCGGTGCAATTCCAGTCCTTTTGTTTTATATGACTGAAGTAGGTCATAAACGTAGTAAGAAATTTACTTATTAGCTCCACTTTAGCCTCACGGATCACTATACCGCACCTCCGTGCGGTATATCGTGAATCTCAAACTTGCCCTTGTCCTATAATTGTCTTTGAAAATACCAAACCTTAAAAAGTTCCTCCTGCTTATTGGGTGGAGCTTTGGAAATCAGAAGATCCGACGTCTTTTTGGAGAAATTGTAGTTCTGTACATCCAATTTGCTTTTGATTGGAGTGCGGACACAGCCGATTCGATGTTTTGGGTGCGAGACCAATGGACTCAGATGTCGAGATACTCGGGCCATTTCTTCCCTAGCACCCACAGCAACTTGACCTTCAACAATTTGCAACCGTGTGATTTCCTGCCAGCAACGGTAGCGTCAGCTCTGAATGTGATACAAATCTCCTGCGTCTAGTTCCGAGGACCAAGCAACGCAAATTGAGGTTCACCAAGCTGCTGCAACGCTTGGGATTGACGAATGGAAAACTCCGTGGATGAAAGAAATATTGATAATAACAGGTATTTATTATCTATTGTCATTTATGAAAGATACTTGTCGGATCAGTATAATCCTATCAAGCAAACGATTCTTCATTATAACTACATCTCCAATATCCTCAATACCTTCTGTTCTCTAAATAAATAAATCTACATCTAAATTATAGTGTGCTGGACTTTCAAGGAGCTCATGATTTAAGCTTGCCCTTTCTTCTCAAAATATAGTCCTTCGGGATCGATCTTAGATGTAGCTTGAAACTCGGAAGAGCTAACAAACACCTCTTCTTGCTCTGGGAATGTCTTGTAAATCTATCCGATGAAGTCACCAAGAGTTTCCCTGGGTCAAACAATCAATGAAAGTTTCAGGTCCAAAACGTTAGACTCCTCAATGCTTACAAAAAGAACTTACAATATTTGGATTACTTACATGTTTGCTTTCTGGATGGCCCTGGAGGTTGTAGAGAAATGAAGTTGTAACACTACATCGCTCATTTGCACTCACCTTCAAAACTTCTGCTCGTCAGCAAGTCTTGATCAAGTTCTGGATGCCTCCATAGATGGCTGCGTTCCTGTTTGGGAAAATTAAAATCACGAGGACTTTCCGATGGTACAATCCATCATTTCAAATGACACATCTCGAAAGACAAATTTCGTAAGATCTAAAATCACCGAGAAAAGTCTTAATATGCTTAGATTTAGCAGACAATCTATACTTGAAAACTTCTGAGTCTCTTTAGTTCCGTTTATTCTCGTTCTATCTGAATGACAGATCAGACCCGTCTCACATGCAACAACATACACATTTGAAGAGTCTTGCACATTTGGTTGCATATACTTGTTGGTGAGGCTTGCTGGTAGGAGCAGTGTGTTGATGCTGCCTGACTGCAGGATGGTCGATGAAGTGAGCGCATGACCCCTCCCTGCTTTAATATGGGCTTCTCACGGGAGCAATTCTGCACTGAAGAATCTAAAAAGCCAGGAAATCGCAATCAGCGAACATGACATGCTTGTGAAGCCAGGTCTTCTCGTCAATGGCAACATGCCTATTATCCACCACTCCAGATGTTGGCCTCAATACACCTGAAAGCATAAAACAACCAACAATACTCACGAAACATTCGATATGTCACGTGTTAAAGCATATTTCAAGATGAAAGCAGTCAGAAAATAACAAGCACATCCGAACCGAGTGGGTCAAGTGTCCATATCTATTCTCTAATGCTAGTAGAGAAAAGAATGTGGATTGAAAAGAGAAACACTCGTATTCAGGAATTGTGACGAATCTCCTCGTTCATCCTCGTTCGATTTCAGCCCATCCTTGACCCTTCCGTGACAGACTCAACCTCTACGGAACTTTGGAACCTGCTTTTGCTGCGATTGTGTTCAGATGACATCTGGATAGCAGCTGTGTCAGAAGTCTGGTTGCCATATCCTTGCGACACTCCAATATCCATCAGAAGGGTATGAAAACTAGACTTTCGACAATCTGACAATGCGACGTTTTCAGTTGGACTCACGATCTTCACAGGAAACTTCTCGTCACTCAGGTTCTTAAACTGAAGAAGTCTCAGGACTGACGAAGTTTCGGTTCGATTATGAACCTCAGGACTGAAGAAGATCATTCTACACAGACGGTTGTGGTTACTTATATCTTGACATATGTCTCTAAGTCAAGGTTCAACTTCGTAAAATATTCCTATATATATATTCCTATAAATATATTCCCCATTTCTTAGGTACACTGCGTCGACTTTTCCACCCTAACGCGTTGCATGCGGCTGGAAAAACGGATCTTAGCTCATGGAAACAGAAACAGAAACTTGGCTAAAGCCCTAATATCTGCGAGAAGCCCTTAGCACCAGCCTCGTAGTTAGGGACAAGGGGATGCAAATTGGAACAAGCAGAGTATTGTTTGTTCCATAGCCAGCTAGGGGCGTTTTATCAGGCGAGCGTACTCTATTGTGTTTGAAAGGATAAGTGGACCACTGTTTCACACCTTTGTCGACATTTTCATCAGACTTCGAGAGTCGTAGCTTCGAACAGAAATTCACGTTGAATCTCAGATATCAAGACATAGTGACCATTCGTAGAAGAATTTCTACGTGAAGCTGTGGTATATTAATAACAAGTATCCATTATAACTGAATGTCAAGTTTGCATTGCCTCGCGTACAGACTGCAGATGAAGTCTAGCAATATGATAATAAAAAGAGCCAGTTAACTAACTGGCTATATCCAAAGAGTCTACACGTCCACTGTTGCTCACCGAGTCGAATTTTCTACAGCTCAAAACCCAAAACCTCTGCGCACTTGTGATAATATTTGTCATAGTTGTGCGATTTCTGATAGCTGAGGTCCATTAAAGCACATCAGACAGGAACACGTTATAGAACATCGCGACGGTGTGACGTTAGTGGGGATCTATAGGGTAAAACGAAATTTGATGGGGTTCATAAGTAAATACCTCAAGAAAATCTTTGAGTGGACCACTTGAAATTTATCTAAATATTCTTTGTTTTTGAAAATTGCAAAATGGTATATTTCGCTGCAGATAAATGCATCTATTGACTTCTTCTCTCTTCAATTCGCTCTTGCTAATTTGAGACTGTCCTG